ATGGCAATATACCTCGCAGGTAGGCACTGCGTATGAAACCGAACCGGTGTCGGCGAGGCCATGGCGCACTGCCAGCTCTGGCGGAAGTCTGGCTGTAACAGGCACTCGGCTGTTTAGATGGGAGTGGAACAGACACCTACTGTGCGTATATACAGAGTTGGAGGCCACTGGCGGGGTGCCGCATGCCTCACTGAATAGGTGCGAGAGTCGCGTGGTGTGGGACAGAAATAAATGATATCTGTGGTTGCGAGAAACTTTTACATGCGGAGCGTCAGACAATCTTCGCATCGGACGCCAGTGTTAGCGGCCTGTGTTACGGCCCTCGTCTCTTTTCCGCTCCTCTCTGCTGTGTTACGAGTTACGACCCTTCCTCCCCTCCTCTCCGCTCCCGCTCCTACGCTCGACAACATTGCCACCACTGTGTAACTACCCACGCACGCACTAACCGCTATTGATGGCCTGTGCGTGCACCATACGAGGTTAAAAACAGCCGTGCCGTGACCGCTTCAAACTGGATTTAAACAGCAGTCAAGGTCGACACTCACACCGTTCCGTGCTTCTATCCTCAGGATACTGAAATCCTTCTCCTCCACGCCGCAACCCCACTCCGGGCTGGACAGGCAACTTTATCTCATGCGGGCTGCTCCCTTGGAGCGGCACCGCTGCTCCCGAGGGAGCGCACCCCGTAGCCGGGTGCAGTGAGTGCCTTGGGGCTGGGTGGCCTGTCCTCTGGACGGGCTCAGCCCCGGCGACTCACTAGGGTGCCTGCCCAGACCAATGTCTCCCCCTAATTCCTATCATCCTTCCGGCTCTGCAATGGTCTTGTCGACCGAAAGGGCCTAACCCAACAAAACAAAAATCGACACTCAGCCCCGCTCACATCATCACATCAAATCGACATTGTGGCAATCAGATCCATTACGTCCTCTCGTCAAAGCGATGACATCCTACCCGACACAATAACACCCCAACCACATACGCTACTATCTTGCTGTTGTGTGTAAATCTATCGTCTAACTTTCCGCTCACTTCTATCCCGGCAGTGTTTTATGAACTCGGTACTGCAGTGCCTGAGCAACACCCGCGCTCTTCACGACTACATCCTGCGAGACGGGTTCACCTCGGAGGTCAACACCACCACCTCCAGTATGAAGGGCGCGCTCATCCAGGGTAGGTGCCTCACCGAGCGGTAGAAGGTGCCGCCAGTTCTTGAGCAAGTGGATCTAAGTTTTACTGTAACGGGCGACACCGCCTTGGGGAAGTCATCATAATAAGCCTCATAATAAGCCTAATAATAATCACAATAAGCCTCGTCATCAGAGGAATATTACGATATCAGTTTTCAGAAAGAAGAGTTTTTTCTGTGGCAGTCCCTAAGACAATGGTAGAAACCCCTCAGTATGTTACAGTTAGTCCAATGAGGCTGTAAACACAGGCTGGGGTCTTCATCAAACATTGGTAGTGCTCACTTGACACCGTAGGGTCGTGAATCCCTACATCATGCTCGTATTCAGACACGCTCGAACCAGACTCCTCACTGGCCCATTATCCACCCTGCAGCGTTCGCCGACCTGATGCAGGACCTGTGGAAGAAGTCGGACGAGACGGACAGGGTGGTGACCACGGCGCCGTTCAAGTCGCAGATCCAGCGGTTCGCGCCGCGCTTCATGGGCTACCAGCAACAGGACGCCCAGGAGTTCCTCCGGTGAGTGTCGGGTCGTCTGGGAGGTCCTACGGGGAGTGTCGGGTGCCCCGGAGCTCCTCCGGTGAGTGGCTGGACGCATAGGAGTTTCTTCGCTTAGTGTTGGATGTACATATGTCTCAGACGAATTTCAACTATGCTTGCAGCCGTGACAGCATGTTGACTTACGTATTTTGTGGTTTTCAGGTACCTTCTAGAGGGACTGCACGAGGACGTCAACCGTGTCACGTCTCGGCCGAGGCCCATCACGGAGGATATCGACGACAACCTCAGGTACCGTACACTGTACAGGCCACCCTTGCTAGCGTCAAGGACTTAAGTTATCTAGCTTACCGTGGAATGTTATGGTTTGATTGCACCTTTGTGGACGTTAATTAATTGTGTGCGAATGGAGTGTGTGCTCAATGCATATTTGTGTCGCCCATGCTCAGGTCCTTTCGGCTCGACTCAAGATTGTGGCGATAAACTTGTGTGTTAAAAATGCCCTGTTATAAATACGGATAGCAAACTGTTATTTATTTGAGATTGCGAAGATTCGCTTCCGAGCCGTGACCTCATGATAACAGATGAACATTTGGCCCGCAGTGACAGTCAGAAGGCAATGGAGTCCTGGAAACGGTTCATGAGGTTCGACAACTCCAAATTCGTTGACCTGTTCGTCGGACAGCTCAAGTCCACTCTTCGGTACGTAAACCAACAGCTGCCAGGATGGCACGATGTATAGCTTATTTTTACGTTTGCTCTTGCCAATGGTATGGCGAAGCCAACAATGTGTTATGGCTAGGCTAGACTTCGATGTGTTATGCATTGATTTATTGTTCCAATGTGAGTAAAGATGGATTGGTTATCGATTGCTGAATCGATTTCGCATGCGGCCTGTGCTGTATGTTTGGTGCTCGATGATGTAACGCAACCTTCCAAGTTCCAGAACCCTTTCCCACTGTTGACTCGCCCCTTTTCCGTTAGGTGCACCGTGTGTGGCCACGCGTCCGTCACCTTCGATCCGTTCTGGGACCTGAGTCTGCCGATCCCTGCCAAGACGGGCCAGGTGCGCCTGCAGGCCTGCTTCGACCTCTTCACCAAGGAGGAGGTGCTGGACGGCGACGAGAAACCGGTCAGTGCGCCGGGGAGGGGCGCGTAGAGGGCTCCGTTCATCGGGTCTAACGGAGTCACATGCTGACGTGATCTAACTCTAGGTCTTAACACACATACCTCAAACACTGTAAACAGTTTTCAAGGACTTCTACTTGACAGAGAATCAATGTTACTGTTTTGATGAGTGAAAGATCAGCTGACCTATATTTTCGGCTCATATTTGATGCAACAGCGCGTCTTAAAACCGCCGGTGTGCAAAGCATGTTTTCTTGGTGAGAACGTCTCTCATTGCATTGTATTCACGTTTGTGCAATCCAAGATGTGGTATCGCCGCGATGATCCAGCGTAATCGATGGCTAATCTCACCGTTGTCCTTTCAGACTTGCGCCAAATGTCAGAAGCGGCAGAAGTGCACCAAGAGTTTCGCCATTCAGAAGTTCCCACGCATCCTTGTGGTGCACCTGAAGCGGTTCTCGCCCCAGGAGCGGTACCGAGGCAAACTGAACAGCGTGGTTGACTTTCCACTCTGCGGCCTGGACCTGTCCGCCTACTCCGAGGGACAGGGGTCCTGCAAGTACGTACATGCGGGCTGCATGCGCTATTTTGGTGCGAGCTTTTTATCAATGGGTTTATGATGTTGCCATTTTTCGCGCTGACTCACTGTTCGTAAGTAATCTGTCGATAACTGAAGGCGCTTCTTCGACAACTGCTTATAGATCGGTAATTTTGGCAAGCTATTGCTATCCCTCACAAATTAAGTGGAATGTTTTTCTAGTCTTGACGCACCTTTGTGATTTAGCGGTCTCTCTCCACTCATTCACTGACCGAACTTATTTGTCGTGTTCAGGTACAGCCTGTACGGCGTGGCCAACCACTCTGGTACGCTGTACTCGGGCCACTACACGGCCTACTGCCGCCACCCGTACTCGTCCGAGTGGCACGAGTACAACGACAGCAGGTCAGTACCGTTCATCAACGCTCAGTACCAAAACGGAGCAGTAACGTTACAGAACTACGAGCACCGTTTTGTTTTACAAAGCTATTAGAGCATAAAAGTTGTTGAACAAAATCAAAACATGTTGAATTTGTCACAGATCTGGCATACTTTTTGTCCCTATTTTGTACAGCGTGATAAGCTGGCTCGTCTTCATGGTATACTGTTTGAGCTTCAAGGCATCAAACAGTTTTACTTCTGTGTGCATTTTGCTATGTTATTACGACCGTCAGTTGGGATTTACGATAAGCTGGGCAAAATCTAAGGCGCTCTGTTTGACTAGAACATTTGACTCCTCTGTAACTGATTCTTTCTACGACAGACTATTGCACCGAAAGCTACACCTCATTGTTGACCGATCTCCCTTCTGCGCAGAATTCGCACCACCTCGATGCGCTCTGTGGTCAGCAAGGAGGCGTACGTGCTGTTCTTCGAGCTGGCCGGCTCGCCGGGCCTCTAACCGGCCGACCGGTGCCTCTCCCGCCGCGCCCTCCCTCGCAGTGTCGGCTCGAACTGTGCGTCTTTCAGTCAGGGGCGGCGCGGTGGACGGTGCGCGTGCGTCGACGGTTGTGTGCGGGCCGTCGATGCCGATACGATGGTGGCGAAGTGGATGGGAGGTCGTCGATGGTCGTCAGTCCTCGTCGATGGGTGGACTGTGGGATGACGAGGTTGGAGGTGACGCGGTGTTACCTCTCGCCGGTGGCGGAGTGGATGGACTAGTGCCGCCGGTGTTATGAGCGTGTATTCACAGTGATAAGAGTGAGTGCGGCGGGGCAGCGAGGATGTGTTGGTCGCCGCTGTGTCGATTGGCGGTGATCTGCGGCCGCCGCTCAGTAGGTAGTGTTGCTGGCACCGCTGTGTGGCGCCAGTGTCGTACGAGTTCGTCCCGCGCCCCCTGGGAGCGCTGCGGTCACCAGTGGTTCGAACCGCGGCCGCTAGGTGCTGAGGTCTCTGTCCCAGGTGCGAGGGACGGCATTGGTTGTGTTTATCACCCCCAGATGGCTCCCCAGTCGCTGCTGGTCCGCTGGTGTCCTCTCACTTGCTGTCTGGTCGGCGAGCGGACCCCTCGGTGGAGCCTGCGGGCCCGGGGCGGAGCCCCACCCGTGATCTAGTCGACATTTGTAGTGCAGACCGCGTGCGAGAATCGTGTGCATGTCCGTGTGGTGAACACTATATTAGTGACTTCACACCGAGTGCAAAATATATAACCGTCGTGTTTCTACTGTATTGTCGTGTATATTCAACCAGATTACAGGATTCGATCGTTAAAAACTCGAAACGAAACGCTCCGGCCAACCCACTGGCCTGGAGGACAGAAGAGAGCGGTGGTGTTCAAATATGACTAGGGGTATCACAAATGGACGGGGCGGGCGCAGTTATCAGAGCAGAGAAGCTCGAGTGGCGCCCCCCAGCGGCGCTTATACCGATCACCGGGTCACACACGGAAAAGACGGGGGTAGAAGGCGTCTCGGTCCTTCCAGCGGACCAAAGACACACCCGGAGCGGTGCAGGGACAACTCGTCCCCGCTACGGCTCAGACACAGGGCGGGCGAGCCAGACACCAGCTCCAGTGGCAAAGGCACGCTACTGGCACAGACAACTTCACAGGGTGTCCATTGTCCAATAACGGACACTGTAAACTGAAAGTATTTTTCTGTCACGGAGAATTAAAGCCAGGATCAGCGTAAAACTATCTTTGAAAACTGTCATCAAAACTTCAATATCTACCGCTGTATAAAGTTTCATTGTTCTTGATGGGAGCGCCTAGCTGCCGCCGCCGCCGCCCGTCAGCTCATCTTCATACTGTTTGCGGAAGCAGTCTCCGACGGGGAAGAAGTCCCAGGAGCGCTGTTGGTAGAGCGTCCACACGTATGTCTCCTGACCCGTGTACTCGGTCTCGTCCTTGTTGATCAAGTGCATCAGGAAGAACCTGTGGGAAAGAGGTGAGAGAGAAGTGAGAATGTGAGGTGAGAGGGGATCGGGTAAGAGCATCCAGTATTACTTGGTGATCATAGGTACGTTCATACTCCCCACCTCCTGAAGTTCGAGTAACCTAAAGACCTATTTTGACTATGGAATGGACATCACGGCATTATCTCATACATTGAACAGCTGTTTTTCTTTCTGGCTCACGAAACATTCAACATTCGTACCAGCAACGTAAATCGATGATTCATGTCTCAAGACAATAAAATCTACTTGGTATTTGTTATCACGTGCATCTTGCAATGGACACAACAATAATGTTGTGCTGCTTTGCACAGACTGCTCGACGATGATCTCACATGTAGTTGGCCAGGTTGTGCTCCTTCTGCACATGCGTCTCGAAGCCGTGCGGCACGTTGTCGAAGTAGTCCTTGCCGATGCCGCAGATGAAGCAGTTGGACTCCATGTCCTCCTTCACCGACTCCAGCTGGTCACGGAGCTCGCCGAACGCGTCAATGATCAGACCTGCGGCGCGACCAGAGAGACGAGTTAGGTGGGTGATAAACACGCTAAAGTGAAAAACCTAAGGCTTGAAACGATATGTGCATGATGTAGGCAGCCGCTGATGCATTCTCCAACTGAAAAGGCACGTAAGAACTTCATCAAGATGCACCAGATTTACGTGAACTTGAAGTTATATCAGTTGGAGTTATTAGTTATAAGTTATAACAACCATTTGTCAGTAGGAGTAGAGCGCTACGATAAACGCTAAGATAAATGATTAATAAAATTCATCCGACTCCAGTATATTTGCCACATTACATGCACCAGCATGGCACGATCGTAAAGAACGTCCCCCAAACCATCTTTTTTCCCGCGCGTACCCTGGATGATGGCCAGCAGGATGACGATGACGAAGAAGAAGAAGGAGATGTCGAACAGGATGCGGTACACCTCGTTGAGGTCGCCGTCGGGCGGGTCGATGACGTCACCGATACCACCACCGGCGCGCACGCCTTGGTACAGATGGAACACGAAACACTGCCGGAGGGAGGGGGGGGGGGTCAGCGGGTCAACATCTAAAACGTGCCGCACTGAGGTCGAATTATAGGAGGCATAATGTGAGCTTCATACATTCCTCGAACACACTCAGGCGACAAGTGAATTAAGAAGTTCGTATATTGGGACAGAAATAAAGTAGTCACCTATAAACACTGCAGATAATCACGTCTAGTGAAAAATATCGGACACAGACGTGGCAGTGGTGACTGAAATAAAGACGGCGCCCAGCAGCATGAATCTAGTTGTATGTGAAAGGCAAGCCGGGCATCAAACAGAACAGGACATGCCAATTGACATGTCTTACTGAAGAATTCGACTGAAAAAGTGGCGTTGAAAGACTATGATTCATACGACTCGCAGCCATCCGGAACATAATCCATATGGATTTGTGTTTCATTCCGGCTAAACGTCATTGAACAGCGTAGGGAAACGAGACAGATCAGACTATGAAAAGCAGCAGCAACCACTAAAAACACGAACAACAACACTATTAATCGTTTCTGGAAGTAAGATGCATCTTCAAAGTCTTGCATAGTAGGAATTGATGTACAAGATTGAGAATTATACAGGATCGATGATTCCCGCGGGTATCAGAAATTGATGCTCAGACCAAGACTAGTCCGGCACAAAAACCCGTGATGACAGGCGTAGCCCGCTTACTGTAAACATGTCGTGGCACTTTTGGTCGATGTTGTCATCCTCGGCCTGTACGTAGAACTTCCGGAAGAAGTTGAAGGCGATCACGGTGTAGATGTAGACGACGATGGTCAGCAGAAGCAGCGTGAGGCAGAGCTGTGAGACGAGACGAAACGTCAGCAGACGGGTCAGCGATCGTGGGTGTAAGTGGGGAGCAACGGTGATAAGGCGACGGGATACAGACTCAGGCATGATAAGATCATAGATACCCAACACATTAAACAGGCAAATAGGAATGGAAACGTAAACACAATACACATAGCCAACCAGTCAGCCATACGCACAGCCATTCAACCACACACAGACACACATACACAGACGACAAATGACAGACACCCCGAAGTTTGCAAACGATCAGCGCGGGGGACTAAGCGGATAGTTCCGACAAAGAACACGTATATTCCAGGAGGTAAACATGTTGTGCAGCCAGCGGAACGGGTGGCCGAGACTGCCACGGGAGGGGATGACGTAAATCCACGCAATATATGATGCGTGTGACCGATAGTTGACCTACTGCAGACGGCGGAAAAATAAATCTGGCTGTAACTGCGCTTGTCATAGGTCATCCGACGAGGTAAAACAGTTGATAGGCCTGCCTACACAAGTTGGCAGTTCCGAGCTGCATACTTGAGATAGGGTCAGTTCAATTTATCAGCCTGTGATGTTGATGTTTATGAACGATCTGGCGAAATGATTTATCGGAAAACAACATAGCCAGTAGATCAGTATGAATTGATCTGTCCCGTGTCGGTCTGCGGCTGGTGAGCGGCCACATCAGTGCCGACTATTTACCGATTGGCGATCCGTTGACCGTAATCCACGTATAGCCATCGCCGATGATCACATCAAATATTGTGCGTCCCACGACCCAAGCCATCGTCATTTCATCACCCGGGCTTGCACATCGTTCGCGCTCAATATCTGTTCGGTGTCCTCCGTGAGCACTTACAAAGGGCAATGCAATTTTGAGGCTGGTGATTGAATGAAAATTAGCAATTAAAACCATAGCCTAATGCTCACAAGGGTATTTGAAATATCACAAACGACCATCTCGTAAGTACCTATCACATCATCATCTTCTTGTACGCTGAAATATTCCCACATGCACCAGCCCCCACAGTGAGTGTTCCAACCTGTTTTCCGTTGTGTGTGACCGACTGCAGGATCGTCTTCAGTGACGGCACGGCCACGGCCACGTCCAGCAGGTGCGCCGCGAAGAAGAAGTAGTTGTAGTTGCCCAGGATGGAGAAGACAAAGTACCACAACGAGTACAGGAACGCATTGTCGGTGAACGTGACACCGATCTTCCACAGTTGGTACCGCCAGTCGATGGACGTGATGCTGCGGGGCGGAGCAGAGAACATCAGTCACACCCCGAGGTCCGTCATTAGCCCCACACCGCCGCATAAGGAGCTCACATAACTTCCGTCCGGTCAGGGTCATAGCCAACCGGCGGCTCACAGGACTCTAAAACCGGCGGGGCTCCTGCTGGTGATGCTTCTAATTCCTATTCGCCGTCGCCGTCACTGTCACCGCTGACATGCGAACAGACAGTCCAACAGAGACATCTCCATAATACCAACAAGAAAGTGCGCCAGACGGCCCGAAAAAGGTGGTAACACGGTTCGCTGCGAGCGAGCGGGACAACATGGTGAACGCCGGCGTATAGCTAACGGGATGACGATAACGGTTAAAAACAATGGTGGAAGTGGATTTGCAACTGATAACAGCGGCTAAGCGGGAAACTTGTTGATATTTACAAAACGCAAAATGTTTGTTTCCATACGTGGGCATGACATTCCTGCCGATTATCGAAGTTTTTAAGACATTTGAGTAAAACCAAAGAGGATACAATCACAGTTACGATTATTTGCGAACGTAACTCGAACTAGGCACTGCTCATCCGCATGTTCCTATCAATGAACATTTTCAAGCAAATTGACAAGACAGGAAATGTAGGTATCTGTGTCCTTTTTCGGACGGTAAAAGTGCCACTAAGAGCCCATCTCGCCAGCTTTTGAGAAGCACAACTCACAAATGGGCGTAAGGTATCCTTCCTTCTCACGACGGGAGATACTCACAAGTGGAAGAAGCCGCTGCCGGTCGACTGCTGCGACATGGTCACCGATTTCTCCATGCCGAGCAGGTTGCTGATCTGGTCAAAGTCATACGAGTCGCTGTACTTTTGGCGGACACGCTTCTTGACAAACTTGTCCCAGTAGTTGGCCGGGAACATTCTACAATGAACGGTAAAGGCACAAGGGTCACTCTCTGCACAGTAAACAGGTCATCACGAAGGTCGCAGAACACTGACCGGTAGGAACATGACCTCGCCGACCATGGACCCACCGTGGAGGGCATTGGAGTGTTATAGATGGACCACCCAACGCCACAGACAGGCCGATCAATAAAAAATACAGTGAACAAGCAAGTTTATAAACAGCATTCAATATTTTATTTGAGCTACACCTTGACCGCTGTCAAAGCTTGGTAGCACCTCCATCCATACGATGGCCTTCCATGGCCAATAAGACAGAGCAGCTGGACTTTGTGCAGCCCAGGCCGTCAAGCTGTCAACTTTTCCGCCTATCCCAATAGATCCACGTCTGCTCTCCTGGGGCCTACCAAAGGCGGCGCTGGTGCGACTTACTTTGCCGATATGACCAGTTTATCCCAGTGTGCCATCAGATCGTCATCTTCAGGCTGAGAGGCCAGGTACAGGCCGTCGAACTCCAGCTTACGGCACACCTCCTTCTCACGCTTGAAGATACCTAGAGGCACCTGTAGACGGAGTCGTGGTCATCAGGGGTCGATTGGGAATGAGGACTGTAAGGGATGGTTGGCAGGACTGCAAGGTCAGCCGGGCTACTGCTGAGGGTCAGTGAGGTTAAAGCGGTAAGGACAGCAGGACCTGTAGCGGTGTAAGGCTAGCCAGGTCAGGTGTACAAGCTTAGCCGGGCCAACAGGGCGGTAAAGTTGCTGGGTCATAGCTTCAAGTTCAGTTGGTTCGATAAGAATTGCTCTGCCCTTGTAACCAATGGGTAAATGCAACCAACTGACCAGCGTCCTACCTATCTTAGCTCATCTACAGTCATCTCTCGTGTGCCTTCATAGCGAGTTTTATTGATGGAGCCATACAGTTACCAAATCATGAATTACACGCACCACTGCTGTTATTTACTACCGAGTCCATCCGTGTGCCAGCTGTCGGTTCAGCCATCCATCGAGCACCGAGCCAGTGGGCTAGTCATGACAGAATAGACAACCCATCCAACAACCATCAGTAGCCTTGACCTTACCTCGAGGTTATTTATGTAGCTTTTCTTATAGTCACTGGTCAGAGTAGTACAGTTACCGAAGAACAGTTACCGAAAAATGTGAGTCAGCTCCAGTCAGCTCCGTATACTTAGGCTCATCTCATGCACGACTGCTTCGATATGCGCCTGAGCTAATTTCAATATCCGTTACAAAAGTGCTCTCGTTTTTCCTCGAATCTGTTGTTTTTGCCTGTATCGAAGAAGGCTCACCTTGAGATGATAATAGGCGACCAGCATGAAGAGCGAAACGATACTGTGAATGATAGACATGAGGCGAACCACGTGCTCCAGGAAAAAGTACTTGTCGTCGACGTGGATCCATTCGGGCCCGTCTTCATCGTCGTCGTCGCCTCCGCCGTCCGCGCCGTCTCCAGAGCCCGTTATGTCCAATTCTGCAGGCCAGAGAAGACAGTCAGAACTTACTCAGTACTCACAACACACACGGCGGTTACTAAGGGTGCGTCGACACACACGGCGCTCCAAAGCGGCCACAGCCGGGGGCGGCATCCCGCGCACCGTATCAGGCGTTGGGTGACAGTCAGTCATTTGTCACTGAGTGGGGTGACAAAGAGAGTTGTGGTGGTCGTATGACATAATAGGCAGCGGTGAAGACAGAATGACAAATGTGTGGGCAGATTGACAAGTGCGCGGACAGAGGACATGTCTGGAAGACGCGATGATCGGTGAGATTTGAGGCGAGGGTTTTGTAGTGAGCGGTTCAGAGCCATGTTGAGATGAAGTCATCTATGCTGCTCGATTGATCTTTGATTTTACCGGTGAGTTATTGCTCAAAATCGTAGATCGACTTTATATTGATTGTTTTATCAAACTCCGTACCATGTCTGGTTTGGATGGAACACGCTGATACGTCCGATCTCGACCATTATTCTCCTATCATGATGCACGCTTAAACCCTCTCAGAGATAGAGCAGCTTGACAGAGCTATCTGTGCACGTAGGTCAGTTCCACTATCTATCATAACAGCTGCATTAGGCTTAGTGGACAGCTGATATGGCCGTGTCTAGTTGGCATGTATCTAGGAGAGGGGTATCTAGACTGGTATCTAGGAGAGAGGTATCTAGTTATGTATCTGTGAGCACGTACCGCCCGATCCCGATCCACTGCCCGATATCTGATCAGCCAAGTCCGCCGCCGATTCTTCATCATCTTCTCCGTCCTCCAGCAGGGCACTCGCCTGTAGCAAACGTTTAACAAACAGAAATCAGTGCCAGTACGTCCATCCACTAACATCCCTAGCGGAGTAGATAATCATAATGCAGGGAGTGTCCTCTAGCAGAGCACTCGCCTGGAACAAACGTCAAACACACAGACATCAGCTCCAGTCTGTTCACAGCACTGATACCCTCAAGGTGATATGGAAGGATAAGAAGGGGATGGTAGCTCAGAATGAACGCTCTGAGGTAGCTCAATATAGCCCAAAGAAGCTAAAAAAGTACCTAGCTCAAAAGAAGGAGTGTTCCGTGGCCCACAAAAGATCGGTAAAACCTAACTACTCGTATGAAAGTGGGAAGTTTAATAACATTGTTAATGCTTACCTAATAACGTGATACGATATAAAAATAAATGCAGACTTTGTAGGTAGGTGCAGCAAGGGCAACACTAAAAGAGGTGAGTTAGGAAAGGAGGCCACGTATTGTGCTGTCCCCAACACTATGTCCCGCTGTTATCACCTGATATACTGCACGGACACAACAATTCGCGACAAGGTTGTTAATGGCCAGCGCTATGCAAATTGAGTCACTTCAGATGTAACCCCGTGTCGCAAACGTTGCAAGAGGAGACGAAAGTGTCTCGTTTGTATTGGCGGCATTTCAGTGTCAGATCCTGACCACTTCTGCACTTGGCACGGTGACTTGCTGAAGATGAGCCGGCTCAGAACAGGTGCGTTCTCCGCCAGATGACCCAGCCACTGGAGTTGGTTCGACCGGCCGCCGCTGACACACACTCAGTGGGTGGTTCAGCGCCCTTGACACGCGGCGCGGCGCGCGCAGGGGACGCCGCAGCTCCCATGACTCTCGGCTATACATCACGGCACGTCGTGCCGGCCGGCCATCACCACAGGCAATCGGACATTCCGATAGGTCGCCTCTAAAGGTCGCCGACAATGCCGCCTCCCCACCGGCCAGATGCGAGCAATGGCCGCTTCGCGACAGCTATCAGCATAATTCAGACGGATTCAGCCGGCGCGCTGAGCTGGGCACCGAGACGACGGCGTGACGCACCCGGCCACCACGTGACACGGGTCAGGGTCACGGCCAGGGGACGGGCACAGGAGGGGAGGGGTGACGCAGACACCCGCCGCGTGGCAAAACCGGCTGTTGAGACATGGCTCAGCGACATCGTGTCGTAAGCATTCAGTTGGACTGTCGCCCCCGTCGCCAAGGGGACCATCACCGACATGTAAATTACACGCAAATTGGATGTAAGGCAGTAAAAGAGCGGTAGGTCCGGCACTTTGAACGCGTTGTGCCATCGCTGAATGGTGCTTCCATTCAACTGTCGCCGACAATTTGAGTCGGTACCCGTGTGAATCACCGGTACTCGTGAATAGTGAGGCAGCCAATTTCAAACAGTGCCTTCGATTAGATTCACAGTTATTGAATCGAAAAATAGCGGCATCCATTCCATTCATTTCAAACAGCACATCAAAAGCATGCCTTTGTGGGTCAGCCCCGTCTCTGAGATCACGTAGCGCGCAATGATGGCATGCTTATCCGGCACGCTATGTTTTCTGTTCTCCCAGTGACATCGTCGGCAGTCCTCTCTCCCTCTCTCCCGTATTGTTCCATCATGGCAGAGAACGTCAGCAGATTTGTAATAACCTGATGGCATTCACCAGCCGGACTTGCCGCTGGCCTGGCCGGTCAGGGGAGGAGGGAGAAGCCGAAACCCCAACGGTCGCGGAGTAGGGGCACAGCAGTACTTAAATCGGCTGGAGGCGGGGCTAGCGGCGCCCGAGGGCCTGCAGCACACGCCGGCCGGCCGTGCGTGCGCGTCGCACCGGCCGGCGGCGTCAAAATAACGGGGCCGTGGCGTCGCCGGGGGCGGGCGCCCCTCCCCCGGCACCGCAGTGGTCACAGCACCGGTCAGCCAGGTCACCGGGGTCAGTCAGGTCAGCCGGGGTCAGGCTGGCACCTCAGCAGACAGCGGACGGCGGACGCCTGGCCGGCACTTTCACTGGCACTCGACGCTCATGAATTGCCAAGAGGCCGGCATTTCCATGGTTGCTCGCGATGCGTTTCGCGGAGACGAAGGTCACCATGTGCTGGCGGCGGCGCCTTCTGGCAAAAACGGCCGCCAGGTCATCCGTCATGGAGGCAGCGGTGGCCGGCGGTCGCGGGGAGCGGCCACCGGGGGGACATCGGCGACTGCAGCGCCGGCCGCCGCCGCCCGCCGCCGGCGCATGCTAAACTACCCACCGTTGAGAAATAACGGAGCCACGCTGCCAAAGCTCAGATTAATGGCCATCGCCGGAGAGTGTCCGAGGTCCCGGTCACCGGGACTAGGTGCAGTCCATGACAGCGGGCCGCGACACCTGCCACGGGCCGGCTGTCCGGCAGGCGCCGTCATGAGCCCTGTCTGAGTCCCTGACACATGCCGACTGTCCCGTAGGCGTAGCTATGAACCCCCCCCCCCCGTCAAATGTCTCTGCCACGGGCCGGCTGACCCTCTGAGGAGGGGGTGGGGTGGGGTGCTATGTGGCCCTGTCAATGCCACGGGCCACGAGTCACAATGCCGCGAGCCGGCTGTCCCTCAGGAACGACATTAGTGGTCCCTGACGTCATTGTCTCCGAGGCGCTTCCAGGAGAGCCTCGTGGCTCATGGCAGCTCGGGAGCTCAAGGCATGGAAGCCCGGCGTTCAAGCCATGCTTCCACCAGGGAGCGCTGCCATGCGTCAGTGGCCCCTGCCGCCGCGCGGGCCGGCTGTCCCTCTGGGGTAAGAAACACCATTAGCCCGAGCCACAAATACATATGGACCCGAGCCAGACGACTGGCAGCTAACCTTATCAGTCACAAATCGGCACTCTGGAGATGTCCTTGACCCCATAGCACCATGGAGATGTGGATTATTGACAGATTTTTACGATGCATGCATGATACGGGTGTCTATGCATGAATGTATGGTAGTGTGTATGAAGTAAGCATAATTTGACGAATGGATATGTGCATTGTGTATTGCGTATGCAAGTATGTTTGACGCATTACGCATGTAATACGTCGTCATGTGGTGGACCTAGAGAAGTGCAACGATTATCAAATTATCTTATTGTAACGTTGTATGTAACTCTTAATGTTTTGCACAAGGTCATAAATTTTTGTTTTGCACCAGCTTCGCTACCGTAAGTTTGGCAAGAAATCAAGAGTTTATTTTATAGTTTTGTTTGAAGTTTATGGGCCTTTGATGTGCGGTGTTAGCGACTAACTGTCCCGTAAGCACCATCACCCCTGACCCCGGAGCAGACACCATCGCTTACCTTGTAGAAGAGCAGCATGAAGTTGATGCAGAACGCCAACACCAGCGCCATGTACTTGAGGTTGTAGAAGTTGCGGGCGAGGAAGCTGACCACGCGGTGGACGTACTCGCTAAGGTCAACCTGTCCAACAGAATACGCGACAAAGGTTATGGCTGTTGAACGACTCGAAATTGCTCATTCGACAACGCACAAAACAAGTAAACACTAGTAAAAACCTGGTCACGTCAGCACTCAGAGAATGAGAAGACACTACTTGGTATGCTCGTTTCAGTTAACGACTACACTGACTTGGCTTCATTCCATCCATCGCGGAGAAGCACGCACAAGGATTACAGGCGAGAACGGGGGACAGGCTCACAGACACAGATATAAACGATGTGGGTGGCATATTTGAGGAATCGGGAATGGTCTCTACCAAATGAAAGAGACCATTTAGTGGCGATGGCGGATGGCACAGAAAGACATGGCGGACGGGACAGAAAAGACAGACCGATTCAGTGCAAGACAGATGGCAGGGGGCGCTTGAGAGACAGACAGCAGACGCCGAGAAGCGGCAAACATTCAATAGAAAGAGTGGACAGATCGCGGAATAAAAGACAGACGGCTGTAGGCGGACGGCAGAGAGCAGAAACAGCGGACATTGGACGGCAGATAAAAGACACCGAGATGGTTGAAACTTAGGTAGATAAAAGAAATATAGCCGGCACAAGGCGGACTTCTCGCAGCACCCCAACCTACCTGAGCGACGGCGGCCGGCTCGGCGGCGGTGGTCGGCGCGTTCGTGTCCTCCTTCTCCTCCAGCACAGCCGCTTGCTGCTTCTCAATCTCCCTCCGCTCCGCCCTGAGGACAGAGGGAAGGGAGTTTAAGGCCATTGTAGCCATGTACTTCTGCCGGTCACCGCTAGGCCCATGTACTTCTGCCGGTCGCCGCTAGATGCTGTGAACCGCGAGTTACAGTTTTGCTAATAGGTGTCGCTTTTACCAGTCTCTAAATTGCTAAAGCCTTCGATTAAGTTGTGCGCCCCCCTTTTAACGTTCCGTTCGCTTAAACTGCTGTATTGTTTGGACAATTGTATTGGCTATGTGTATATTAAAAACCATATGTATTCGTTTATTACATTCGATGTTCTCGCCAACATGTGTGCAATACTAGATAACTAAGTTCGTATGTAAAATTATATATGTCTCGATTTTGTGGCGAAATACAACACAGGCTAAGGTGATCGTTAACTTGCTTCGGCAGTTGGCATTTCACGGGTTTGTTTTGAGAGCTCTCCTACGCGCGTCCCCACCCCTCACATCCAACCTTTTACCAGTTGTTCCACCTACTCTCCTTCACTGCCCACAACCGCATCCAGTTGCCCCACGATGGGGAAGCGGCGCCGTCAGCGCCCGCTATCCGACTCCTTATCCGATTCCGACTCTGACTCTCCTCTGAATCCGACTCCTCCCTCTGCCATGGATACCGACTCCCGCCCGACCGTCAACCCTCCCTCCTCTACCCACCCTTCGACTGATCTACCCGGTACCGACCCTCGCTCGTCCACTGACCACGCCCTGACCGCTGACCTGACCTCTGACCCCGCCCGGCACTCTGACCCTCGCTCGTCTACCGACCTCGCCCGGAGCCATGACCCTCGCCCGTCCACCGACCACTCCCGGAGCTCTGACCCGCGCACGAACTTGGCCAACGCACCTGCCTGTGCTTCTGTCGATCGATCTCCACTCGAACCGTACTTGTCTCTCGACGGCTCTTATCTGGTAGTGAAGGCTAGCGATAGTGACTTCTCTTTCCGGAAGATTAACGTTTTTTGGCCTCAGAAGCAGATCGCTGCTATCTGTGGACAGCATGGCCCCGACATTGAAGCCCCAGCGAACGGTACGCTAGTTATCAAGACTCACAACCGGAAAGACACCAAGGCACTCCTGAAGACGAAAGTTTTCTGTGGCAAGGACGTAACGGTATCCCTCCACCAGGCCCGCAACTCTTCTAAAGGCACGATTTTCGCTCCAGAACTCCGTCACATGTCCGAGGATGAGATCCTGTCCGAGCTGAGGGGAGAGGGTGTGACCCACATCCGACGCCTCACGACCTTCCGTGATGGTCAGCGACGGGACACCAGCCTGCTCGTTCTCACGTTCGAAACCACGACCCTGCCCGAAAAGATAGCCATTGGCTGGCTCAAAAAAGATGTCCGGGTGTTCATCCCAAATCCACTCCGGTGCTTCAAGTGCCAACGATTCGGACATGGAAGCTCCACTTGTCGTCAGGCTGCTCGCTGTCAGAGATGTGGTGAGGCCCCTCATGAGAACTCCGAATGTTCTAAGCCAGTCTCTTGCTTGAGCTGTGGTAGCACAGACCACTCTGTCTCCTCCTCACAGTGCCCCACGTGGAAAAAGGAAAAACGCATCTGCGAAGTCAAGGCTAAGTCCGGCTGCTCTTATCCCGACGCCCGCCGACGCGTTGAGGCAGAGGCTGCCACTCCGGCTCCCGGTCGGTCTTATGCCAAGGCCGCCACTACTCAGACCACTTCGTGCAGTACACAGACGGACCCGATCTCGGCACTCCCCCCTCTGCAGTGTCTGAAGCCCCTGACTGCGTCGACGATCACATCCACAAACACCAGCGACGCGACGGAGACCATTTTTGGTGACCCGATGCCTTCCTCTCCCCCCGAGTCACAGCCTGAGGCTTCACCAGAGATCGCTCAGCAGAACAAGCCCTCTGCCGGAGCTGCTCGCTCCACGGCAGCCTGGACAAAGGTCCAGCGCTCGAAAGGACCCCGCCCCCAGCCCCCAGCAGATCATCGACAGTCTACAGGCACACGCACGTCACGTCCACCTGTCAGAGTGTCACTGGGCCACAACCGTGCGTCAAGTTGGGCTTCGCCCCGTCGTGGTGTGTCTAACAAATACTCTCTCTTAGAAACACAATAAACAGCCTACTCCAGTGGAACTGCCGAGGCCTAGTTTCAAACTGGGCCGAAAGCAAGATGTTTTTCTTACTCTTAGCCCCAATCGTTATCGCGTTACAGGAAACATGGCTTCTCCCAACAGACCCTTACAATTTTTCTTTATTTAACTATTCTCTCTATCGCTACGATGAGACCGATGGTGAGCGGCGCCACGGCGGCACCGCCTTATACATAAGCAATGATTATGTGCATGACCTCATTACTCTTAACACTCCGTTACAAGCGGTTGCTTGTACTATCCGGTTGCATGGAAGGAATATAGATATATGCTCAGTCTACATTCCTCCGAATACAGATAATCATACACTGGAGAGAAATCTAAATGATCTTATAGCACAGTTTCGACATCCGTTCCTTTTGCTCGGAGACTTTAATGCCCATAGTCCGATGTGGGGTCGTAACATTAGAGTCTCCGATCAGCGCGGTGAAATAGTTGAACGTTTCCTGGACACTAATCAACTTGTTCTCCTTAACAAAGGAGACAGCACACATTTTTCATTAGCACACAATAGTGAATCTGCCATTGATCTTTCCATATGTTCGCCACAAATCGCTACCCTTTTTGATTGGTTAGTAGATTGTGATATTCATCATAGCGATCACTATCCAATCAAACTGCAAACAACTTTCCAAGCTAATGAGGATGCTACTTCTACCTTCTTTCCGCGGTGGAACTTGAAGAAAGCCGATTGGGCAAAGTTCGAAGAGTTTTGTGACATTGATCACGAACAGTTCCACTCACCTGAGCAGGGCATCGCCTTTCTTACAGACATAATACTCACAGCCGCAAACAACTCGATTCCCACAACAACGGCGTCACCCAGACGTAAACGGGTTCCGTGGTGGTCCCCGGATGTGGCAAGAGCACTCGCGAAACGAAAAAGAGCTTTCCGAAGATTTTTGCGGCTCCGTGATGATGATAGTTTAATTGCAAGAAATAAAGAAAGAGCCATTTGTAGGAAGGTTATTCGTGAAGCTAAGAAATCTTCATGGTGTTCGTTCATATCGCAATTTAACTATCAAACACCACTTAGTAAGGTATGGTCTCTGGTTCGCTCCCTATCCGGTAAAAAATGTTTTTCCAGTCTTCCGATTCTTCGCGTCAATAACACACTCATTACACAACCACAAGAAATCGTTGACACGATAGCAGCAGCTTTTGCTCACTCTAGTTCATCCCAGAACTACCGAGCGAGTTTTACTGTAAACAATCGAAGAACATTTGAACTACCACTAAATGCTTTCACATCAAACAATGTAGAAACATATAACGACATATTTTCTCTCGATGAGCTGCGGCAAGCTATTTCCTCGACCGGAAACACTTCTGTGGGGCCTGATAAATTACACTACGCTTTTTTCCGACGCCTACCTGACAGCACCTTAGAATTTATGCTAGCAACTTTTAACGACTTATGGACAAAGCACCTTTTTCCGGATGCATGGCGACAAGCTGAAGTCATTCCACTACCCAAACCCGGAAAAGATAGGAAAAATCCCGAACATTACCGACCGATTGCTTTAACAAGTTGCTTTGGAAAAATATATGAACGAATGGTTAGTAAACGCTTAACTTGGTACCTAGAGGAAAAAAGTTTGATTTCCACTTTCCAAAGTGGCTTCAGAAAAAATCATACGACATACGATCATATCATAAGGTTGGAAACTGACATCAGAAAAGCTTATAAATATAAAAAACAAACTACATCAGTCTTCCTGGACATTTCAAAGGCCTACGATATGGTATATAGACCGGCTTTGATTTATAAAATTCACCAAATGGGTTTTAGAGGTCATCTTGCATTCTACTTAGTTGGATTTCTGTCGGGTACTCGCAAGTTCCACGTTCGATATAGGTCCATACACTCGGATACCTACCAATTCGAAAACGGTTTACCACAAGGAAGTTGCTTGTCGCCTGCTCTTTTCAATATAATGATTAATGATCTTTTCGATACAGCTCTGCCAGGTATCAATTATTCTTTATTTGCAGACGACTGTGCTATTTGGTGCTCAGATTCTGACTCGCAGCACTCTATTCCACGATTACAGAGAGCCTTGAATAATATTGACACATGGTCCCAGAAGAATGGCTTTATTTTCTCACCTGCGAAGTCGGCCGTTATGACGTTTACTAAAAATAGTCGCATGCAACAAGCCTCAGATCTAAGACTTTCTGGCAACGTTATCCCTCGCGTCAACTCGTTTAAATTTCTCGGTGTAGTTCTGGATCCCAGACTTAGTATGAGCAAACACGTCCAACATATCCACACAAAATGCATGAAACGTCTTAACTTATTCCGATGCATAGCCGGCACAGATTTTGGTGCCGATCGGAAAACTTTGCTTCGCTTGTACAAAGCCATAGTTTTGCCGATTATTGAGTATGGTGCCGTAGTTTATGCAGGAGCCAGTAGCAATACGCTTAAAAAATTAGAAACTATTCAGAACACATTCATTCGCATTGCAACCGGAGCCATGAAGACTTCGCCAATCCCGTCTCTTCAGGTAGAAGCGGTTGTACCTCCTCTGAATATCCGTAGAATGGAACTATCATTACGATACATATCAAAGGTTTTGTTTCATCCACAACACAACACTTTTGCATCTCTTCGCATTTTACCGTCGATCCACCACAATTATCTGGGTCCTGCGGAAAAGAGGTCAGGTTTGACCATTGCTTCTAGACACAAAAAATTCACAACAGACTTAAACTACGAGCAGCCAAATATACAACCACTTCCGAAACTTAGCACTCCACCATGGCGGAGAAAACAAAGGGACACAATGCTTCTTTTCGACGGCTCTAAAAAGCACATGTCGATGGAAGAAACGCAACAAAAATTTATCCAAACACGAGAACAAC